TGGCACTAGAGGCACAACATGGCCGCCTAGTAACGGCCCCGACCACTGCTGCTCGACCTGACCGGAAAAAAACGTAGCAGGAAGCTAGCGAAGTCGTAGTATATATCGTCACAAACAGAACTGCCCGGTAAAACCGTAGGCAGAGAGAGGGAAGAGGACAACAAACGAGGGGCTGTGACAAACTGTTTATATATATATATATATATATATATATATCTGTTTGTGAAGATATATATGTATATATATGTATATATATATATATATACCAAGCAACTCTCTTTGACTATATATACCACGACTTTGCTAGCACCCTGCTACGGTATTCTCCGGTCAGGTCGAGCGGCAGTGGTCGAGGCCGTCACTACGCGGCCTGTGCCTCTGGTTCGAGCGGCGTGTCTGGAGTGTATTTTTTTGCTGTGACAAACCTTTTTTTGTTTCGTGGGTGTTTTGCTTGCTTGTGATAGGGTGTGAACCGACAGTCTCTGGAGTTTTCCATCTGGTGTGGGTGGGTGATAGTTAGCTTTGACTTTTGCTACATGTACCTTGAGGGCAGTGGTTGCTGCCCACCTCAGGGTATCAGTTGTCGGGCAGTCGTTGATGCTTAACCACAACCGGGGTTAAGGTGAATTATCACTTATAATCTAATCAGTTAGGGGATTGTGCAGACTGTTGAGGGTTCATCTTCCTGATCAGTCGGTGAAACTCCAACGAAACAGTTTGCCACAGGCCCACAGCCCCTCGTTTGTTGTCCTCTTCTCCCTCTCTGCCTATGGTTTACCAAGCAACTCTACTTGACTATATATATATATACATATATATATATGACTCTTTCTCTCACTCTCCCCCTCCCTCTCTCAGCTTCCCTCTCTGTCTGTCTGTCTCTCTCTCTCTCTCTCTCTCTCTCTCTCTCTCTCTCTCTCTCTCTCTCTCTCTCTCTCTCTCTTCAATTCACTCGTGAACAGGTGCACATGCATAAATGAGCACAAACCCATTCGCGCGAGGTGTTAAGTGTCAAAACTTTTGGCGTGCCAAAAAGAAAGCCCTTTCTTTTTCTTTTTTTTTTAATTAAAAAAAAAAACGGGTTGGGCCTTAAGGGTGGGGTCGGAGAAGCGGGGTGCCTAGGTGGCCCTACCACACCCTCCGCCCCTCAGGACCCTGATCCCCTCGGGCACCACTTTGAAACCCGCCTCCCTGGCCCACTCATGCGGCATTTACTTCACATAAACCTAAATATCTAGAATCAGATGCTAGTAAAGGGTTGTGGCTTCAATGGGACAACTGCGAAACCATCCTTTATGTAAAGTTTCTTAAAGAAAATTAACGAATCGATGCACACTTTGATTGGCGCTAAACATTTGAGCTCTGACACAAGAGGTGTACATTGGGCAACGCAAGAGGTCCGATGCTCGAAAACGCCGCCGGCAAGGGCTTGAAGGTACAACTCCG